GAATATCAGGGTTGGGAGGGACCTCAGGAGGTCATCTAGTCCAACCCCCTGCTCAAAGCAGGACCAATCCCCAACTAAATCATCCCAGCCAGGGCTTTGTCAAGCCTGACCTTAAAAACCTCTAAGGAAGGAGATTCCACCACCTCCCTAGGTAACTCATTCCAGTGCTTCACCACCCTCCTAGTGAAAAAGTTTTTCCTAATATCCAACCTCAACCTCCCCACTGCAACTTCAGACCATTACTCCTTGTTCTGTCATCTGCTACCACTGAGAACAGTCTAGATCCATCCTCTTTGGAAGCCCCTTTCAGGTAGTTGAAAGCAGCTATCAAATCCCCCCTCATTCTTCTCTTCTGCAGAATAAATAATCCCAGTTCCCTCAGCCTCTCCTCATAAGTCATGTGTTCCAGCCTGCTAATAATTTTTGTTGCCCTCCGCTGGACTCTTTCCAACTTTTCCACATCCTTCTTGTAGTGTGGGGCCCAAAACTGGACACAGTACTCCAGATGAGGCCTCATCAATGCCGAATAGAGGGGAACAATCACGTCCCTCAATCTGCTGGCAATGCTCCTACTTATAGAGCCCAAAATGCCGTTAGCCTTCTTGGCAACAAGGGCACACTGTTGACTCATATCCAGCTTCTTGTCCACTGTAACCCCTAGGTCCTTTTCTGCAGAACTGCTGCCTAGCCATTCGGTCCCTAGTCTGTAACGGTGCATGGGATTCTTCCATCCTAAGTGCAGGACTCTGCACTTGTCCTTGTTGAACCTCATCAGATTCCTTTTGGCCCAATCCTCTAATTTGTCTGGGTCCATCTGTATCCTATCCCAACCCTCCAGCATATCTATCTCTCCTCCCAGTTTAGTGTCATCGGCAAACTTGCTGAGGGTGCAATCCACACCATCTTCCAGATCATTAATGAAGATATTGAACAAAACCGGCCCCAGGACCAGCCCTTTCTTTCAGATCCTTCCTGAAAAGCTCCTACTTCTGTGTTATTTACAAGAAATGAGTTAATGTAAAAGCAAGAAAATGCCACCTCGTGGCACCATCAGGATGTACGCATACCAAAATGGAGTAACTCAGTGACCTGTTGCTGCTCAAACCTTTATCTTTCCTTCTCCAATCCTCCTTCTTGGTTGTCATTTTCACAGAGTCACAACTAGAACTAGTTTGTACTCTTTTGGGGTTGGGAACTTATCTTTTTAAGTACATCAGAAGCAGAAAGCCTGCTAAACAACCTATGGGGCCACCGAATGATCGAGATGCTAGAGGAGCACTCAAGGACGATAAGGCCATTGTGGAGAAACTAAATGAATTCTTTACATCAGTCTTCACGTCTGAGGATGTGTAGGAGATTCCCAACCTCAGCCATTCTTTATAGGTGACAAATCTGAGGAACTGTCCCAGATTGAGGTGTCATTAGAAGAGGTTTTGGAACCAATTGAAAAATGAAAATTGGCCATTATCTTTGAAAACTCGTGGCGAACCGGGGAAGTCCCGGATGACTGGAAAAAGGCTAATGTAGTGCCAATCTTTAAAAAAGGGAAGAAGGAGGATCCTGGGAACTACAGGCCAGTCAGCCTCACTTCAGTCCCCGGAAAAATCATGGAGCAGGTCCTCAAAGAATCAATCCTGAAGCACTTACATGAGAGGAAAGTGATCAGGAACAGTCAGCATGGATTCATCAAGGGAAGGTCATGCCTGACTAATCTAATCGCCTTCTATGATGAGATTACTGGTTCTGTGGATGAAGGGAAAGCAGTGGATGTATTGTATCTTGACTTTAGCAAAGCTTTTGACACCGTCTCCCACAGTATTCTTGTCAGCAAGTTAAAGAAGTATGGGCTGGATGAATGCACTACAAGGTGGGTAGAAAGTTGGCTAGATTGTCGGGCTCAACGGGTAGTGATCAATGGCTCCATGTCTAGTTGGCAGCCGGTGTCAAGTGGAGTGCCCCAGGGGTCGGTCCTGGGGCCGGTTTTGTTCAATATCTTCATAAATGATCTGGAGGATGGTGTGGATTGCACTCTCAGCAAATTTGCGGATGATACTAAACTGGGAGGAGTGGTAGATACGCTAGAGGGCAGGGATAGGATACAGAGGAACCTAGACAAATTGGAGGATTGGGCCAAAAGAAATCTGATGAGGTTCAATAAGGATAAGTGCAGGGTCCTGCACTTAGGACGGAAGAACCCAATGCACAGCTACAGACTAGGGACCAAATGGCTAGGCAGCAGTTCTGCAGAAAAGGACCTAGGGGTGACAGTGGACGAGAAGCTGGATATGAGTCAGCAGTGTGCCCTTGTTGCCAAGAAGGCCAATGGCATTTTGGGATGTATAAGTAGGGGCATAGCCAGCAGATCGAGGGACGTGATCGTTCCCCTCTATTCGACATTGGTGAGGCCTCATCTGGAGTACTGTGTCCAGTTTTGGGCCCCACACTACAAGAAGGATGTGGATAAATTGGAGAGAGTCCAGCGAAGGGCAACAAAAATGATTAGGGGTCTGGAACACATGACTTATGAGGAGAGGCTGAGGGAACTGGGATTGTTTAGTCTGCAAAAGAGAAGAATGAGGGGGGATTTGATAGCTGCTTTTAACTACCTGAGAGGTGGTTCCAGAGAGAATGGTTCTAGACTATTCTCAGTGGTGGAAGAGGACAGGACAAGGAGTAATGGTCTCAAGTTGCAGTGGGGGAGGTTTAGGTTGGATATTAGGAAAAACTTTTTCACTAGGGGGGTGGTGAAACACTGGAATGCGTTGCCTAGGGAGGTGGTGGAATCTCCTTCCTTAGAAGTTTTTAAGGTCAGGCTTGACAAAGCCCTGGCTGGGATGATTTAATTGGGGATTGCTCCTGCTTTTGAGCAGGGGGTTGGACTAGACGACCTCCTGAGGTCCCTTCCAACCCTGATTTTCTATGATTCTATGAAACAGTAATACGTCACCAGGACCAGATGGTATTCACCCAAGAGTTGTGAAGGAACTCAAATGTGAAATTGCAGAACTACTAACTGTGGTGTGTAACCTATTATTTAAATTAGCTTCTGTACCAAATGACTGGAGGATAGTTAATGTGATGCCAATATTAAAAAAGGGCTCCAGAGGTGATCCCAGCAATTACAGGCAGGTAAGCCTGACTTAAGTACCAGGCAAATGGGCTGAAACCATAGTAAAGAACAAAATTGTCAGATACATGGATGAACATAATTTGTTGGGGAAGAATCAACATGGTTTTTGTAAAGGGAAATCATGCCTCACCAATCTACTAGAATTCTTTGAGGGGGTCAACAAGCATGTGGACAAGGGGGATCCACTGGACATTGTGTACTTAGATTTTCAGAAAGCCTTTGACAAGGTCCCTCACCAAAGGCTCTTAAGCAAAGTAAGCTGTCACAGGATAAGAGGGAAGGTGCTCTCATGGATTGGTAACTGGTTAAAAAATAGGAAACAAAAGGTAGGAATAAATGGTCAGTTTTCAGAATCGAGAGAGGTAAATAGTGGTGTCCCCGAGGGGTCTGCACTGGGCCCAGTCCTATTCAACATATTCATAAATGACCTGGAAAAAGGGGTAAACAGTGAGGTGGCAAAATTTGCAGATGATACAAAACTACTCAAGATAGTTAAGTCCCAGGCAGACTGCAAAGAGCTACAAAAGGATCTCTGAAAATTGGGTGACTGGGCAACAAAATGGCAGATGAAATTCAGTGTTGATCAATACAAAGTAATGCACACTGGAAAACATAATCCCAACTATACATATAAAATGATGGGGTCTAAATTAGCTGTTACCACTCAAGAAAGAGATCTTGGAGTCATTATGGATAGTTCTCTGAAAACATCCACTCAATGTGTAGCGGCAGTCGAAAAAGCGAATGGAATGTTGGGAATCATTAAGAGAGGGATAGATAATAAGATGGAAATATCATATTGCCTCTATATAAATCCATGGTATGCCCACATCTTGAATACTGGGTGCAGATGTGGTTGCCCCATCTCAAAAAAGAAATATTGGAATTGGAAAAGGTTCAGAAAAGGGCAACAAAAATGATTAGGGGTATGGACCAGCTTCCATATGAGGAGAGATTAATAAGACTGGGACTTTTCAGCTTGGAAAAGAAATGACTAAAGGGGGATATGATTAAGGTCTATAAAATCATGACTGGTGTGGAGAAAGTAAATAAGGAAGTGTTATTTACGCCTTCTCATAACACAAGAACTGGGGGTCACCACATGAAATTAATAAGCAGTAGGTTTAAAATAAACAAAAGGAAGTATTTCTTCACACAATGCACAGTCAACCTGTGGAACTCCTTTCCAGAGGATGCTGTGAAGGCCAAGATGATAACAGAGTTCAAAACAGAACTAGATAAGTTCATGGAGGATAGGTCAATCAATGGCTATTAGCCAGGATGGGCAGGAATGGTATCCCTAGCCTCTGTTTGCCAGAAGCTGGGAATGAGCGACAGGGAATGGATCACTTGATGATTACCTGTTCTATTCATTCCCTCGGGGGCACCTGGCATTGGCCACTGTCAGAAGACAGGATACTGGGCTAGATGGACATTTGGTCTGACCCAGTATGGTCGTTCTTATGTTCTTATCTTTTTATTTGTTCAATAAAGAACCTAATACGTGTTGGACTCCATATAAATAATAGTTAACTGTAATAAATAGACAAGATTTCATTCTCTTTGTCTTTCTCTTCCTTCTACTCCACCCCCTCTGTCTTTATTTCTTACATCTCCCATCACATCATCCATTTTTCTCACTTTTCTCCACCCTATCCTTTTCTCTCTGTCTATAATACAGGTTCTCCTCTATTAAAAACACCACTCTATGATTCCAGTGAAGTCATTCTAATGACAGCATCCCTATTTCAGTAAGCACAAATAGAAGTGAGGGTCAGCTGGTGTGAAGGAGAGGTTATTAGGGAAATCTCAAGGAGGGAGAGGGAAGAACTACTGTAAGATAAATGAAGAAGAGGGATTTAGTCCCTACCTGTTGCCGTCTCTTATGTTGACTTGAATGTCTTGTACTTTTCCTTCAGACTTTTTCTTTTCATACAAATCCTGGATAGGTGCATGTGATCGTCAGTGGAGTCAAATGGGCCCAGAGTCGCAGGACACTTGAGAGCCAGTGGAATCAAATGGGCCTGTTTCTGCAGACCAGATCTTTTGGTGAATTTCTATTACAATATTTGATACAGTCCCATTTGTGATTTAAAATATCTTTGAAGTCTGATAAGCGGTGATGGAATGGAGATGAATTAATTACTTCTGCATGTTATTGTCCAGCTGATGGAAAGAGCACAGACTCAAAGTTCTTACACTTCTCCGGCTTCCTCTTTTCAATGGCAAAATTGTCCCATCCTAGGAGAATGAGAAGACAAGACACAAAAGACTGAGTCTGGCCTCTTATAACTTCAGGAAGCTTCCCATGGCTGCATATCTCACAGACAGGGCATCACTATTGTATAGTGCCCTTCTGGCTCCAGCATTAGGATAATGTAACCAAGAATTTAATAAATAATAATAATAATAATGTAATACTTAGCATTTTATATTGTGAAAACACTGTATAATCTGAATAATAAAAGACTAACAGACTATATGTTGTTCCTTTTATATATGAGTGAGAAAAGGGGGTGAATTTTAGTACATGTGGAAGTAAAGGACTACATACTGCAGGCTAGAACCAGTCTTGAGGCTGGCAGATGTTATGCAAATAAATCGACCAACACCCACTAACTCCCCTGCTATCCTGACTTGCATCACCCTACTATTCCAGACCTGGGACACTTCCCCGCTCCAGCTCTGCCTCAGTTTTGATTTATGGACCCCTGCTATTTCAGTTCTGGACGTCTTGTGGAGAGGCCTTCACTCTGGTATACACTTGGCTTCAGATATGTGCTGGGCTGTCTCTCTCTCATGACAAACTGGAGATGTAGCCAGACATCCAATATTTGGGACAAGGCTGAAAACAAACTAATTTAACATGTGAGTGACTGAAACCATATTTGAATCCACAAGTCCTGGGATCATTAAATTATACATGTAGCTCAAAGTTTATCAGAGTTATTCACATCCTTTGGCAGGAGAATTGGCCACCAGGACGCCAAAAGGGAAGGATTATCCTACTATTACTCCTTTGTGTCTTTTAGTATCCATGAACACTATAAAATTGGAAACTCTGTTCAGTGTGGGCATTAGCTGGGCTGTAACTTCAGAGGTGCTGATTAACCACTTGGAGTTACCCAGGGTCTCACAAGAACAAAGTCCCAGAAGATGCCATGATGAAGGGTCAGGTTATATGAACTCCCTTGTTTTGGCAGCTGATTTTCTAACCCTATTATCACACTGTAGAGATGGGTACTGCTAGTTGATGGCAAAGTTCTAGCAGGTCTAATTAAGCAGACTGAACTAATAACCTTCCATTTTGGGACTGGTATTATTCATAATTTAATGTATTGCTGCTGAAACATTAACCTTTTGACAACTGGCACTGAGCTCTGAGCACAACTTAGTGCTGACCATCTTTCAGTAAAATGAGTATTATTGCTAAAACAGGCATAAATCATTCATGGCTTCAGCTTTTGTGTCAAACTGCACATGAGAATAAGTAGTAAACTAGGTAATTTATTTACCTTTTGGTGATTATTTTTTATGATTTTATGATCATAGTCAATGATTCATAAACATTGGCCAAATGCCATTTCACACTCATTTTTACCCTTTCCATGCTTTGGTGTGCTGTTTTTCATCTTTAAAAATGTCAGCACTAATACAGGAGAGCTTAATCCAGGTACAAATACAATCGCATTTCAAGGGGAAAACACCCCCTATGCTCCCCCGCCACCACCACCATCACAAAACTCAAATAAATCCCACAATCAGTTTTCAGCATGTCCACTGGAAGTGACTGTTTGGTACAATTTTGCACTTACTCGAACAAATGTTTATTTGAAGATTCACACACAATGTGCTTCAAATTCAAAAGAAAAGAATATTTTAAAACAAGTTTGAAAAGTTTCTGTTTGGAAAGACAACACAAACTGCTGGGAAGGGGAGATTGTAAAAAGCTGGAATGGTTCCAAAGGTGTTGGAAAGCAACATGCCCAGCTCCCACCACCTGGTTCTTGGAATGTGATTGCAGACTCAAGGGACACTTACACTAACTTCTGGGACTTTCTGCTGATTCGCTGCATCATGTTTTGCTTCCAAAGCACCACCAACATGATTTTTCTTGGACCATGGAAAGATAAGAGAATCAGAGCTACCTGGGGACTAGATGACTGCATCACAGAGCTCTACAATAAGGGTTAGGGCTCTTCTGTTGACCAACCCTTGTGGCAGCCGTTAAATCCCTGCATAAAATTTTGCAAATTCTAATACCTGTTAATAAGGTGGGTAAGCAGAAGAGTCGCTGTTACAGACTCCTTATCGTGTAGCCCATAGCACATTCCAACACATGGGACAATGCAAAAGAAAAATAATTCTAAGTTACTGTTACATTTGAAGGGATGTCCACATTTAAGGTCCAATTCAGGAAAAATATGGTGCATTACCACTAGAATTCTGCCAAGTCCACTCCAATCACTTTTATAATGCAACCATTGCAGTAGTATGTATGTTATGCAGAAAAGAAGGATCATGCTCGGAAGAGTACAACTTCTTGTTGTGTGAACTGGTTTCACCAATATTCCAGCCAACTGTGCCTCTTTGGGAAACCCCCATTTATGCCCTACAGGTGACAGCAGCAGAGAAAACACAGATCAATACAATCTCAGACTCACAGCACCAAGTACCTGCCTCCAAGTACCTGCCTGGCTGGATTTTCAGGGATGCTAAGCACCTCCACTTCCCATTGACATTAACTAGAGCTGTGAGTGCTCAGACTTTCTGAAAATCAGGCCCCAAACCTGACTGCTATGATTTGCCTCCAAGTAGTGCCATCTCCAAAGGTCTGTTCTTACCATTCCCAGTCTCAATCGCCTTTTTCAGCACGACTGACTCATTTATCTCATGTAGCAAAAAATCTAAAAATAATAGTAAAGAAATGGAGCTAAACATTCTATGAACTGTGTCAGACAGCAGCACTCACAAAGGGGATCTATTCCCATCTGCAGCTATGGAAGTCCTCTGAGCATCCACACAAGAACTTTACCTGTGACAGTGTGTGACAGACCTAATCTAGGGAGACAAGGTGGGTGAGGTAATAATATCTTTTTTGGACCAACTTCTGTTAGTGAGAGAGACAGGCTTCTGAGTTTACACAGAGCCCTTCTTCAGGTCAAGAGCTCTGTGTAAGCTCAAAAGCTTGCCTTGAAATTTTTAGCCAGTGACAATCATGCAAAACGAAACATCTGACCCATTGTGTCAAAGGAGTTTTTCAAAATGTTACAAAATGTTCATTGTTATGTGATTTTAACACTTTTTAAAAAAAACCCTAAAACCTAGTTTGTGCCACATTAATCCTATAAATGTAACAATGCAATGAAATTTTTATAAAACAGATCGTCGCAGAGCTCTGGGGTGGGGGGTGGGATTTGGGAGCTGGACCACACATGTCTTGATGGTGTCACAACTGTGTTCGGGGTCCCAGTTTTGATGGTGCTTTTGATGGAAGCTGCCACAGGCTGATCATTGCAGTGATGCCTCACATCAGTTCCAGATGCTGACTAATGCATCAGGAATTGCATTTCACCTGACACCTGCTTTTCTGTTGGATTTTCCCAAATCTCTGACTAATAGAAAATCTCTTTTCTTTGCAAATTCTGAGCCTCACATAGAGAAATAAGTGAATAAACAAGAGCAGAGACTTTATGAAGGAATTGGGTCCCTAATGATCAGCTTCCAAATATAATCTGTCACTATCTTGGGGTTGACTGTCAGGAATGGCCTCAACAGCTGCAATCTTTGAAAAGTGGAAATATCTGGGAAGAGAAGCATCTCCTGGACTTGTGGAAGGAGCTCACAATGTGGTTTTAAATGTAAAGTTTAAATGGAACATATTCTATCTGGGGGGCCACAGAGGGTGCAGCAAGCCTAATGCTTCAGGCTTAGGAGTCCTAGAGTCAGGCCTGGATTCATATTTGATTGAGGTCACACGTGAGATGAATATGGCGCTCTCAAGTGGACCTAATGTTTTTACACACATCACAGAACTATAAAGTTTGGCACAATCAGTAGTGAATCTCTTTCTCCCTCTCTTAGATTTTCAAAAGTTGCGTATCACCATGCTCTCTGAGTGTCTCTGTTTAGGAAAGGCCCGGTGTGGGAATACTGCGGAGGTTCTGAGGCATTGGGTGAGCTGAAAGAGAAAGCACAGGGCAGCAATAGCCAGGACTGACATGCATTAGTGGAGCTGTAGGGTGGGAGCACAAGACAAGAATAGCAGTTTGGGCTGCAAGTACAATGGCCAAGCTGGGGGCCTGAAGCTTTAGAATCATAGAATATCAGGGTTGGAAGGGACCCCTGAAGGTCATCTAGTCCAACCCCCTGCTCGAGCAGGACCAATTCCCAGTTAAATCATCCCAGCCAGGGCTTTGTCAAGCCTGACCTTAAAAACCTCTAAGGAAGGAGATTCTACCACCTCCCTAGGTAACGCATTCCAGTGTTTCACCACCCTCTTAGTGAAAAAGTTTTTCCTAATATCCAATTTAAACCTCCCCCACCGCAACTTGAGACCATTACTCCTCGTTCTGTCATCTGCTACCATTGAGAACAGTCTAGAGCCATCCTCTTTGGAACCCCCTTTCAGGTAGTTGAAAGCAGCTATCAAATCCCCCTCATTCTTCTCTTCTGCAGGCTAAACAATCCCAGCTCCCTCAGCCTCTCCTCATAAGTCATGTGTTCTAGACCCTAATCATTTTTGTTGCCCTTCGCTGGACTCTCTCCAATTTTTCCACATCCTTCTTGAAGTGTGGGGCCCAAAACTGGACACAGTACTCCAGATGAGGCCTCACCAATGTCGAATAGAGGGGAACGATCACGTCCCTCGATCTGCTCGCTATGCCCCTACTTATACATCCCAAAATGCCATTGGCCTTCTTGGCAACAAGGGCACACTGCTGACTCCTATCCAGCTTCTCTTCCACTGTCACCCCTAGGTCCTTTTCCGCAGAACTGCTGCCTAGCCATTCGGTCCCTAGTCTGTAGCTGTGCATTGGATTCTTCCGTCCTAAGTGCAGGACCCTGCACTTATCCTTATTGAACCTCATCAGATTTCTTTTGGCCCAATCCTCCAATTTGTCTAGGTCCTTCTGTATCCTATCCCTCCCCTCCAGCGTATCTACTACTCCTCCCAGTTTAGTATCATCTGCAAATTTGCGGAGAGTGCAATCCACACCATCCTCCAGATCATTTATGAA